AGGCCCACAGTTCACGGTATTCCATTCATCCGGGTGCCACGAAGATGTATCGTGACTTGAGGCAGCATTATTGGTGGCGGAGAATGAAGAAGGACATAGTAGAGTATGTGGCTAGATGTTTGAATTGCCAGCAGGTCAAGTATGAACACCAGAGGCCGGGTGGCTTACTTCAGCAGATGCCTATTCCGGAGTGGAAATGGGAGCGCATACAATGGATTTCGTAGTTGGGTTGCCGCGGACTTTGCGAAAGTTTGATTCAGTATGGGTCACTGTGGATAGGTTGACCAAGTCGGCTCACTTCATTCCAGTAGCAACTACTTATACAACGAAGAGGTATGCTCAGATCTACATTCGGGAGATAGTTTAGTTGCACGGTGTGCCTGTTTCCATCATATCAGACAGAGGCCCTCAGTTCACTTCCTATTTCTAGAGAGCTGTTCAGAGTGAGTTGGGACCCACTTAGAGCTCAGCACAACATTCCATCCTCAGACCGACGGCCAGTCGGAGCGGACAATTCATATTTTAGAGGATATGCTTAGAGCATATGTGATTGACTTTGGAGGGCAGTGGGATCAGTTCCTGCCTTTAGCGGAGTTTGCGTACAACAACAGCTATCAGTCTAGCATAGAGATGGCTCCATTCGAGGCTTTATATGGTCGACGTTGTCGTTCCCCTATCGGGTGGTTCGAGCCTGGCGAGGCCAAGTTATACGGTACAGATTTGGTACAAGATGCCTTGGATAAGGTAAAGTTGATTTAGGAAAGGCTTCACACAGCTCAGTCCAGACAGAAGAGTTACGCGGATCAGAAGGTGCGTGATGTATCATTTATGGTTGGCAAGAAGGTTCTCTTGAAAGTCTCGCCAATGAAGGGCATTATGAGGTTCAGAAAGAAGGTCAAGTTGATCCCAAGGTTTATTGGTCCCTTTGAGGTGTTGAGGCGAGTTGGGGGCCTATGAGCTTGCTTTACCCCCCAGTTTATCGGGAGTTCATCCAGTTTTTCATGTATCGATGCTTCGCAAGTATCACGCCGACCTATCCCATGTGTTGGACTTCAGTACTATTCAGTTGGATGAGAGTTTGGGTTATGAAGAGGAGCCAGTTGCCATTATTGATAGACAGGATCGCCAGCTAAGGTCCAAGAGGATTTCTGCGGTGAGAGTCTAGTGGAGGGGCCAATCAGTCGAGGAGGCGACTTGGGAGTTCGAGGAGGACATGCAGAGCAGATATCCCCATTTATTCAGTAGTTCAGGTACTTTTCTATGTCCGTTCGAGGATGAACGTTTGTTTAAAAGGTGGAGAATGTAACGACCCAACTAGTCGTTTTGCCTTTTAGGACCCCGTTCCCTTAAATAAAACTTCCCGTGCTTGCTTTAGCTAATTTACGACTTGCGGGGATGCTTGGTTCGGGAATTGGAAGAGTTTTGAGTGAAATATGTCCATTTGAATCTTTAAGATTCTCTTAAAAGACTAAGTTTGACTTTGGTCAACATTTTGAGAAAACGGACCCGGATCCATAATTTGACGGTCCCGGAGAGTCCCTAGGAGAATATGGGACCTGGGCGTATGTCCGAAATCGAATTCCGAGATCCCTAGCCCGAGTAATAAATTTTTATTAGAAATTGTTAATTTGAAGTTTTAAAAAAATTAAAGAAACTAAGTAATCATTGATTTCCTAGGTATTGGGCTCGTATTTTGGTTCCGAAGGCTGGTATAAGTCCGAAATATCATTTAAGACTTGCCCGTAAAATTTGGTGTCAACCTGAGTAGTTTAAGGGCGTTTTGGCCCGTTATAGGGAAATTAAGAACTTGAAGTTCATAAGTTTGATTCAATTGATTTTAGGGGGTGAATCCTAGATTTAGCGTTGTTTCGGGTGTTCCGAGGATTCGAGTAGGTCCGTCTCGTGATTTCAGACTTGTCGATATATTCGAGCGGGGCCCGGGAGCCCCGAGCGTCAGTCGGACGAGGCTCCAGTGAAGTAGAAAATTTGATAAAGGGCTGAAGGTTGCTGCTTCTGTCATAACCGCATCTGCGGTTCTTGGACCGCAGATGCGGGGCCGTAGGTGCGACCCTTCCATCGCTGAAGCGACCCAGGTGGCCAGGCCAGGAAATCGCAGATGCGGCCCTGAGACCGCAGATGCGGTCCCATCTTTATCTCCCCTTTTCGCAGATGCGGGACCGCAGATGCGGAAATCGCTAGGCAGTGAGGTTAATTTAATACGAGTTCAATACCATTTTTATCACTTATACACTCTTCCATTGGCGATTTTGGGAGCTTTGGAGAGGAGACTTCCACTTAGCATTGTGAGGTAAGTTTATTCTATCCATCTTTAGTTTAATACTTGCATATTAGGTAGATTAAACACTAGAAATTAGGTAAAAATCAAGGGGTTAGAGCAAGACCTAGGGTGTTAATAAAACTTAGATTTAACCACGAAATTTGTTATGAAATGAAGTAGAAATCATATATTATTGATCCTTAGGTTGTAGAGAACAACTTCCTTCGAAAAATCTCGGAATCCGGACATGTGGGCCCGGGGTCGGAATTTAGGAAACTTGTGTAAAAGGTTAGGAAATTGCTTAAATAGTTAGAATTCGATCTTGTGAGTCTATATTGACTAGCTCTTACTCCATTTAACTAGTTTGGGATTGTTCGGCTCCAAATTGAGGGTTTGGGATCGTCCTTGGCATTTGAAGTATACTTTGGAGCGAGGTAAGTCTCCTTTCTAACCTTGTAAGAGGGAATTGTCCCCATAGGCATAATAATTGAGTAATTGTTGCTAAATGCGGGGGCTACGTACGTACTAGGTGATGAGAGTCCGTGCGTAGCTACTATTATGTTAATTGTCCGGGTAGTTTAGGACCGACATCATGCTATATTTGTGAATATCTCTATATTATCTTGCTAATATGATCACTTAGGATGTGCTAGAGACTTGGAAAGTAATAAGAGCGAACATGTATACTTGTTGAACTCTTGAGTGACATTATTGAATATTAATGTGCCTTCGTGTGTGTTCTTGATATTGCTTGTTATTTGTGGATCGGGCTGATCGCCTCGGCATGAATAGATGCATCTATGGTTCGCGCCGTTCGACCCTCGGCAGTGCACAGTTTATTTCTGTTGGATCGGGCCGTCGCCTTGGCATAATGTGCGCATGATATCTATGTGAAGTCTTATGCATGATTTGTTTTGCTAAGTATTTCAAAATGTAAATAGCTAATTGATACATTGTTAAGAACATGATTTTACCTCTTGTTATACACTATTGATTATTGGTGATCCCCATGCTTAGCATAGCACTTTATTATATAATTTGACCCTAGTAAGTATCAAGTCGACTTCTCGTCTCTACTTCTTCGAGATTAGACGGGATACTTAATGGGTACATATTGTTTATGTACTCATACTACACTTCTGTACTTAATTGTACAGGATCTGAGGCAGGTACATTTGGCTACCAGTCGGGTGCGCGCCCCTGAGTTGTAGACTGAGACTTCCACGGTCAGTTGCTTCCTTCCTATGGCGTTCAGCAGCCGGATGGAGTCTTTTCATATTTTGCTGTCTTTTCTATCTCAGATAGTAAGACAGAGACATTCTTTTGTATATTCTACTAGATGCCTATTACTTGTGACACCAGGTCTTGGCACACACATTAATAAATACTTATTTTTGGATTGTATAATCGTTTTCGATACTTTATTGATCACTTATGATTTTTTTTATTTAAATTTGAGAATCTGCTTCACTTTTTTTTTTTATAAAAGTAAAGTAATAACTTAATTATGTTTTTCCGCGTCGGCTTGCCTGACAATGGTGTCGGGCGCCATCATGACCTATTTTGGAAATGGGTCGTGACAACCTTTAACAGAAAAGCGGGCCACGCGAACGTGCACACCATTTTTTAAATGACTCAGAAGGGAGGCGTAAGAAGACAGTTTAATACAGTTCAAATAATATCAAAGCGGTAAATAAGCGGCAATTAGCACAGGCCGCAAAATACTGTAATATCAACAATAAATAAAGCCAAGTAAAAATCACATTAATAAGCTTGAATTCTTGAACCCTGAATTCTGTTAACCCGGAAGAAGGTGTTAGGCATTCCCAAATTTAGTGATTTTAGTACGGTCGCTTAGCAATTTATACTTAACTTATTTCGTCTAATTACTCATTTTAGGACCTATCTTTATTTTACCTTTTACCGCTATTAATCACTTGATAATCCATATTTAAAGAATTAACTTATGATGAGTTACACGTACGTATACTCAGTTCCCAACACTTAGTTTATTTTAAAAAAAGGTTTGGTCAAAGTTGCGCGAACACAAACTTTGAATTTATTTGAAAAGAAACATAATCATGATAGCAATTTAAATATAGCGCCTAAAGCATTTCTACGAGGATATTATTAAGGCGCTTTATTTACTAAGAATGTTTGACCATGGTCACGCGAACGTGTACGTTGAATTAGTTTGGCAAAATCATAATCATGTCACGCGAACATGTATTAATAAAAAACGCGCCTATAGAATTCTAGCATGTGATTGTTGTGAGGCCAATGAATGAATAAAGTACTTTGAAAATATCAAATCCGCTAATATTTTTAGAGCATGCATGAATATTTATGGATTACGGGAGAAATGGGCTAGCCTTTATTATATCTTCTAGTCTAAAAACCCAAGACAAGTTTAAAACCATTAACAGATATCAACCTAATTCAAACCTATATCCAACCCCAAATTATTTATTCATGTATGCTTAACTAACTAACAAAATCAAAGATCAGATATATGAAACAATGGATGACTAACATGAATAGAACCATATTACCGAACAACATATGGACTGAAAGTGGAAGCTATTTTGAAATAAGGCCACAATAACAAATTAAAATAAATTAATATGCTATGCTTTCCATCACAATAACCAAACGAGACATCACACAAAAGAGTATATTAGCAAAATAATAGGTGCAGTAAAGAGAGAGAGAGAGAGTGGACCTTTAAGCCAAATAATTTTCCATAACTTGATTAACTGGAAAACTCCAAGTGAGATTTACAGTAGAGTAAAGCCGGCATAAACTTGAGTGACGAACAACAAAATAGCTTGAACGCCTTTGAGCGGAAACTCGAACGACAACCTCGAACGACCTTAGCTAAATCTCAACAGCTGGAGTTATCTTGGAGTTGCTTTTCATGGTATTTTTCAGCTAGTATAAGAGGGATTTACAACTGATTTTCATGGAGGATGGTGGCTGGTTTGAGTTCGAGTTTTAGGGGGTGTTTCACGGTGGTTTAGGGTGGTTTTGGGGCGTGAAAAAGATAATTTGTTTGTGCTGGTTTTGGGAGTGAAAATTTACAAAAAGAGGGATGGTTTGGGGTAGTTTAAGAGCTAAAAAGCTGCTGAGTTCTGACTGGTTTTTGGCGTCATATATGGGGCTAAAGAACTGCTTTTCATGACCGTTTTTGTCGTTTGACGCAGCTGATTTCTAGCAGCGTTTTGGGTCATTCTCATGGAAGCTTTAGGTGAGTTTTAATGGCTGAATTTTGGGGGAGGAAGGCATGTTTCAGCCATGGTGTTTTCTTTTAGGAACGAGAAGAAAGTTGGCAGCTGCTCTCTTTTAGATCTGTTTTTTTTTGTTTTTTCTTTCTCTGCTTTTTCGTTTCTTTTTTCCAGCCCTCTATTCTATTTATTTGTGTGTATAGATCTGTTTCTATATATAGAGTGCCCTTAAGATTTCTTGGGGCCAAAGTTATATGAGCTGGAGGGAATATTATGTGCAATGGATATGTGTGGAGAAAGTGGGTGGAATGTTCTGTGGGCCTCAAAATCTGTTAGATACCAAAAAAAAAACAGATAAGATCAAAATATGTGCTCCCTCCCTTGCAACGTGAGGTTTTATAACAGAATGAGGAAGAAAGATGTGTTTCTTTCTTTCCTTGATTTTCCTTTGCTTTTTTTCACGTTTTTTGCTTTCTGTATTCTTCTTCTTCTTTTTTTTTGTTTTTTTTGTTTTCAATTCTATTCTTTTGAAGATGAAATAAAATTGCTAATTTACCTAAACTAATGGGATATTAAAAGAAAGAACTAAAATAACTTTATTTAAAAAAAATCTAACTATTACTTAATATTTTATTAGAGGTCTACAACTTTTAAACTACACTAAGTAAATATAGATATATATTTTTTGAAATTGTAAATGAAGATAAAATTTATACTAAAAACAATGTGACTCTTTTTTTATTATTATTTTAATTTTCTTAAGTAAAAGCTAAAATATATATATTAAACTTAAAATATATTTACATACTAAAAAGTGATGAAAACTCAAATATGAAATTAGGTGCTCACACCGATTTTGTTAGAAAGTGTGAACAATGCCAAAAATATGCTCTAATGATCCACCAGGCGAGCGAACACCTCCACTCAATCACATCGCCTTGGCCGTTCATCAAATAGGGGATGGACATCGTCGGACCCTTTCCAGCAGGACGAGGTAATGTACGATTTCTTTTGATTTTAATTGACTATTTTTTCAAGTGGGTAGAAGCAGGTGCATTCGCCCAAATACGCGAACACGAAGTTATCACATTCATATGGAGAAACATCATATGCCGCTTCGGCATCCCCAAAGAAATCTGTTGTGACGACGGACCCCAATTCACTGGAAAAAAGACCGCCGAATTTTTGGAAAAAATGGCACATCAAGCGAATACTCTCTGCGCCATATCATCCTACCGGCAACGGTTAGGCAGAATCCTCCAACAAAACAATACTGTACATCATGAAGAAGAAGCTTGAGGACGCCAAGGAACTATGGCCGGAACTGCTACCGGAAGTGCTATGGGCATATCGCACCACGCCAAAAACAAGCACGAGAGAAATGTCATATTCACTAGTCTATGAGACTGACGCAGTGATACCACTCGAAGTCGGGAACCATGTTTGAGATACTCCAACGAGAGCAGATCAAGTAACGATGAAAGCAGAAAGCAAGACCTCGATGAATCAGATGAGCGAGGAGACATGGCCTACGTGAGAATGATAGCTCAAAAATAGCAAGTGGAACGATACTACAACAAAAAAGCAAAAGCCAGACCACTCAAAGTAGGGGACTATGTACTCAAAGCCAAAACACAAGCGAGCAAAGACCCATGGGAAGGCAAACTGGGAACCTATTGGGACGGACCATATAAAATCATGGCAACAACAAACAAAGGGTCATTCCAACTAGAAATAATGGGGGAAAAACTATTACCAAACAATTGGAACGTCGCGCACCTCAAATACATCAACTTCTGAAGATGGACGTCCCCCAAGTCGTACTCTTTTTCCCTCACCCGAGTTTTGTCCCAATTGGGTTTTCTCAGGGAGGTTTTTAATGAGCCGACGAAGAGGGCGTCTCGGAGTTTAGGTATTAAGTTCATCGCCCCGCCTGCCGACTACTTCTCTAGACCAAGCAATGAAGGGACTAAATAGACTGGGACTCCTCGAATGTATGTACGGACTGAACAGAAGCATGTAATAATCTCCAATGAATAAACAGCAGCATATGACATTCTTACACAACACCAAATTTACACAATCACGCCAACGCAAAGGAAATATACATCCCACCTCACTCGAATTATTTTCTAAGAATACATTTGATCTCACTCGAATTATTTTCTAAGTCTACATTCGACCTCGCTCGAATTAACATACATTCAACCTCGTTCGAATCGATCTACATTTGACCTCGCTTGAATTAACATTCACTCGACCTCGCTCAAATTAACATGCATTTGACCTCGTTCGAATCGATATACATTCGAGCTCGTTCGAATCGATCTACATTCGACCTCGCTCGAATCGATCTACATTTGACCTCGCTCGAATTAACTTACATTCAACCTTGCTCGAATTAACAGACATTCGACCTCGCTCGAATTACATACATTCGATCTCGTTCGAATCAATCTACATTCGACCTCGATCGAATCAACATACATTTGACCTCGTTCGAATTAACTTACATTCGACCCCGCTCAAATTAACATACATTCAACCTCGTTCGAATCGATCTACATTCGACCTCGTTCGAATTGATCTACATTCGACCTTGCTCGAATTAACTTACATTCGACCTGCTCGAATTAACATACATTTGACCTCGTTCAAATCGATCTACATTCGACCTTGCTCACTCACAATCGACCTCGTTTGAATTGATCTACATTCGACCTCGATCAAATCAACTTACATTCGATCAACCGAAGGTCAGGGACTTTCTCACAAAAGAAGACACACGGGAAAGAAAAAAGAAAGAAGAGCTGGAAATACATAGCAAAAGACAATTGTTCCATTTCAATCATTCCATTCCAATACATTTTACAAAGGGCTTGAAAGACGCCCCCACAAAAAGAGAACAACAAAACACAAAAAAAAAAAAACCAAGTACAAAGACTTCACGCTGCATCATTTCCCCCCATTGCCAATGTCACCAGAATACTCATCGTCGTACCAAGGGTCGGAGGCAAGCCCATCTAAGGCATCTCCATCTTCATCCCCGCCGGGCGTACCAGAATTATAACCACAGGTGTCACGAGCTGCACGTGCCTTGACACGAACATCCTCAAATTCCGCCTCAAAAGTCTTCCCGGCCGTCTTCAAAGACATGTATATGTCAAGTTGGGCCTCAGCATGAACCCACATTTCATACAACTCCCGTGACACACCGGGATCGAAAGAAGTGTAAGATGTAGACGGCTGGGCCTGCTGTTGCGCCTTCTCGGCTCTTAGGGCGACAACTTGCTCATTAAGCTCAAATAGCTCCTTCTCCAAACCCTCAATCCGCTCCTCAAACCTCACCTCCTTGAGTGCTAAAGTTTCTGCCTCAGTAGCTCGCTCAGACCTGCAAACACGGAGGGCGCCCTCTAGGGCTACCGCCTCTGCCACAACGACCATTCTAACTTTCTTAGCCCGAACCAACTCTTCAACCCTGGTACTCAACTCATCCCTCAAGTTGACGGCCCTTATTTCGCTTTGATCGAGCTCGACCCTTAAAGACGCCACCTGCGCCTGAAGGTTAGTATTCTCGGCCATCACTCCCTTGCTCACCTCAAGCTCATCCTCCTTAGACTTCAGCGCCCTCTCAAGCACACTGCATCTATCGATGGCCCTCATAAGCTCTTCGTCCTTCTCCCCTATCTCCTCATCTTTCAGCTTAAGCCCATCGCGGAGCGACTGAAACTGGTCGTCCTGGCTAAGTAAGTCGACTAGCGTTTGGTGCTTAGAACGGTACTTTCTGTACATGGATACCATCTTCTTGAAGAGGGTCGTCCTCCGCTCTTCCCGCCGATCGCGTTCAATCTCCATGATAAGGGTCTGACATACAAAAGAAGATAGGTCAGCGGAAGTAAATTACACATACGAAATAAACTAACCTAACATGAAAAAATCAAACTTACTCGCAAGGCCATGCCGGATATACCCAACGATAGATCCACATCCTTCAGCATCTGCAACGTCCTATTCTCAGAATCCGCGCACATAGGAGGGAAGGTCGGCAACGCCCGTTCCGAGTTGGCCAAAATATCATAATCTACAGGGATGACTATGTGTCGATCAGGCCCCTCCGTCCTTATCTCAACTCGGGTGAACCTCTCCTCAAAAGCCTGTACCTCTTCAGGGTCGACTTCGGAGCCCGACCCATCGTCTTCTATGAGGACGGTTTTATCCTTTCCGTTCGCTGATGATAAGCAGACCTCAGCTGAATGTGTAGGGTTCCCCTTTGTCGTAGGTCCCTTCGACCTCTGACGACCTTTTCTCCGTGACGATAACTGGCGTGGGAGCAGCCTCAATGCCTAGTAAGGGTGCCGCCTCCGCATCCAAAACAATGGGCCTTTTCGACTCGGTATCAGCAGCACTGACCCTTCCAGTCTCCACCCTCTGCCTTTTCCTCGGCACCGCCTCCTTTTCGTCATGAGACGACTTGTCAATTAGGTGCAGTATGTGATGATCAAAGGTCTCAGTCGATGTAACGACTACCTGTAAGGCGGAATCGCCCAACGGTGGAGCTAGAGTTTGACCCTATCGTACAGACTCAGCCAGTATGAATTGCATTCCAGCCGATGCGACAGCCTAGCGGAATGCGGGAACCGGAGCCTTCACCTTCTTAGAAGCTCGACGACCTGGCGCAAAAAAGAAAATCATGTTAAAAAATGATGACAAGACGGTGGTAAGCTATAACGAAAATGCAAGGGTCGTGGAAATGAGAATCAGACTCACTAGTTGAAGGCTTGGGCCCGAACCGCTTGTTAAGGGATGCCTAGTCGCGAATTCCCACATTATATTATAAGACGCGAGTTACCCACTCATCGATATCAAGAACCAAGGGGGGTGGACGCTTACTAGCTGAAACTAGAAAGACATGAGCAAGTCATAAGCAAAAAGAGGGGGATAAACAAAATATATGACAAACGGTAAAAGGGCCTTACGGTTGAAGTTCCAATGCTCAAGGAACCCGGCTGAGTCCGCCACTACGTGCTCGATCCTGACGAAGAAGTAATTACACTAGAACCGGTGATTTGCCTTGTCATCCATCCCTATCACCAATCCTTTAGTCCCACGGTGGCGGAGATGAATCAGCGTGCCTCTGTAGAAACTAGGCGAGAAGAGATGTAACAGATGAC